CCCGACCTAGGAATTCCTCCGATAAAGAAGAATTAGTGCTAAGTGTCATGCAAGATGAATATGTATGAACTTATTGTGAAACTGTATGCATATGCATTTAGAAAAGAGAACTGTGTGTCTGTGGGGGGAAAAATGGGAAAGGAGGAGTGGGGCAGTGCAGGGGCTGCACATTCTGCTGGATTTCCTTGGGGGCCAGGCTCTGCTCCCAGGGAACAGGGATTGGACAAGGCCTCAAGCTGTGCCAGGAAAGTTCAGGTTGGATATAGGGAAAATTTCTCTTGGAAGGGGTTGTCCAGCCCTGGCCCAGGTTGGGTACAAGGAAAATTCCTCTTGGAAGGGATTGTCCAGCCCTGGCCCAGGCTGGATATAGGGAAAATTCCTCCTGGGAGGGGTTGTCCAGCCCTGGCACAGGTTGGATATAGGGAAAATTCCTCCTGGAAGGGATTGTCCAGCCCTGGCCCAGGTTGGATAAAGGGAAAATTGCTCTTGGAAGGGGTTGTCCAGCCCTGGCCTAGGTTGGGTATAGGGAAAATTCCTCCTGGAAGGGGTTGTCCAGCCCTGGCCCAGGTTGGATATAGAGAAAATTCCTCCTGGGAGGGGTTGTCCAGCCCTGGCCCAGGTTGGATATAGAGAAAATTCCTCCTGGAAGGGGTTGTCCAGCCCTGGCCCAGGTTGGATATAGGGAAAATTCCTCCTGGAAGGAGTTGTCCAGCCCTGGCCCAGGGTGTCCAGGGTGGAGGGTGTACGTTCTCCTCACCAGGTTTCTCTGGAGTTCCCTCTGGCACTCCTGGTGCTCCAGACCCTTCCTCAGCTCCATTTCCTTCTCTGGACACACTCCAGCCCCCCAATGTCTTTTTCTCTATCCACACCCAGGATTTGAGGCGCTTCTGCCATGAACACCTCAAATTCCCAAAATTTCCCCTTTGTGAGCTCAGAGTTCAAGTGGGACTGAGCAGTTTGGGGGTGAATCCAGTGAAAGGCACTTTGGTGGGATGCCAGAGGCAGAGTGTGTGGGGTCACAGCGTTGGGGCCAGGGTGGCAGCACCTCCAGGCCCCTCAGAGGCTCCTGCTGTTCCTTGCAGTGCCATGGGAACGGTGGTGCTGGACGGGCAGATCTACGTGTGTGGTGGCTACGATGGAAACTCATCCCTCAACTCGGTGGAGTCCTACTCTCCAGAAACAAACAAGTAAGAGCCCTTGGTGTGTCCGGGCTGTTCTC